CCCCCCCCCCCCCCCGCACGTTTCTCGAAAGCCCCGGTAATGTTTAGGGCCCGAAATCAAATTTTCAAATCGAAAGATAAAGAATAAGAGCGCGGGTTCTGGCTAGCAAACTACTCCATTCTGTTTCATTAACTGATAGTTTAATCATGTTAGATGCAAAACTATTGAAACCTCTATCTTGCATGTAAACAACAACAGCTTTACGGGCCCGTTAATTATCGGGACTTTCGAGAAACGGGCCCCAGGACCCTTTGCAATTTCTGAATCTAATACGCCAGTAAGCCGTATAACAGGCTATTACAACAGTCAAGACGGCTAGAAATAAAGGCATGTATTAGATTAGAGTTTCAGTATACATTCTTTGCTGAGATATTTCGTTATCCTCCTGATATTGTATAAATAATAGAATGCTCCAGAGCTTGTTTTCTTTACGTGATCACCATTGATAGGTTAGAATCTAACCACACGCCCAGATTCCGAACGGGAGATTGTGGAGCAATGACAGAGTGCCCAACAGTTATGCTATCAATCATGACCTTCGCGAGTTGCTGTCTGGTGTCGATCAAAAGACGTTCCCAGTGTTTTAGCATCATTCATGAGCAACTTGTCTTGAGACATCCGCTGCCTGTCTTGAATGCAATGTTCGATAGAAGCAACCGAATCAGCCTATGGCGAGAGTGCGCCTTGGAACAAAACGAGATGTATAACTAAGAGTCATCGGCATAACAATGAACCGTTAGGAGGTGCTTTTCGGCGACATCAAACAGCGCGCTTGCGTAAACTGTAAAAACAAGTGGGTCAAGACCCGAGCCTTGAGGAACACCATACCGCAGGTCAAACTTATCAGATACAGCTCTCCGAACAAAGACTCGCTGGGAACGGCCAGACTAATAACATCGGAACCAGTTAAAGGCAGTGCCTTTCAAACCAAGTTTTGACGATAAGCTGTCGAGGAGAATGCTGTAATCAACGGTATCGAAAACAGCACTGAGATCAAGCAATACAAGGATAGTAACATGCTGCTTGTCCATAATTATTTAACAGAATATCCTTCATTACTTTCAGAAGTGCTGTTTCAGTGCTGTGATTTCTTCCATAAGCAGACTGCGCAACCAGGTGAAAATTGTTACTAACCAGGTGACCATGAATCTGATTGAACTCAGCCCTCTCAACGAGTTTAGACACAAAAGACAAGTTGCGACGGGACGGAAGTTTAAAATCATAAGAAGTTTTGTGTTGTCTTTTCGCAAGTGATACTTGCTTTTAGCTTTTTATAAAGCCTCGTTCCCAGTCGTCCTCGGCTATTTGCCTTATGTGCTGAGCCCATATGATGCG